ATAGCAATATATATAACTATTCAATCACAATAGAGTGTCCTATTTTTGTTTGGTAACATTCTACTACACCGTGTGCCTGTACTATTATGTAGGGATGATGCAAATATCATCCCTACTATCTTGTTTACATTGTTTTTGAAGGACTGATATTAGCCATCCCTACATTTAATCCCTTTTATGAAAGTTTTTCTTTACTTGTCTTTTTTTTAATGCAGTGTTTCAATAGACATGGGAAGATTGTATTTATAACTTGGTTATAAATACAACCTTCCTATTTCTATTGAAACACTGCATTAAAAAACAAGTACTGTGTGCCTGTGCCATTATGTAGGGATGATACAAATGCCATCCCTACTATATTGTTTACATTGTTTTTGAAGGACTGATATTAGCCATCCCTACATTTACTTCCTTTTTTGAAATGTTTTTCTTTACTTGTTTTTGTTAATGCAGTGTTTCAATAGACATAGGAAGGTTGTATTTATAACCAAGTTCTAAATACAATGAGGTTCCAACTGTAATATTTATTGTTTATCTATTATTGGCTGGTAATTCCTGTTTCACCCTGTTCTTAAAGCTCTTTAAAGGAACACCGATTGTCCGTAAAAAAGCTAACTTCAAGGGGTAATAATAGCATTATTTACACTAGAATTTTTTTCCTTACTAGTTAATAATACTTATAAAAGTGGATACTCCATTTGAAACTATGTCACCTCAGTGAAATTGGTTGACACCATTCTTTTGGTTTTTGAGTTATCGTGTAATAAAAAAAGAAGCTGAAAAAAGAAAATCAAGAAATTCAAACTTTTTGCTATGATATTTACAGACATTCCCAGAACTTGACTCTGTCATTACATAGATATTGTTATAAAAGGAAACACTGTATAGTATTGTAAAGTTCTGATGACCTACTGAGGAGATATTTAAAGTATCATTCCGATGAACAGTCCAAGCCAACCCTCATGGAATTCAGTCAGATTTAGAAGACATATTGTTGTACAATGTTTGTAGCAAAAGTAATTTCTTCTTCTTCAATATGTTTGTTTGTTTATAATGTAGTTTTATTTTTACACAACATTCAACAGGAAAAATACCAGTATCATTTGATTATCCAACCTGTCCATTTTCACACTTAAGATACTTTCAGATAAATGTTTCTGAATTTCACTTGACCAGATTAGCATAAGAAATTAATACACACCAAAAACATCCTTTTATAATTATTACTTCTTTTCATAGTAATATCATTATGCAACTTTTCTTATATTCACATATGTATATAATTAATTCTTTTGTTCCTTCCAGTTTGCATTAGATTAAATTCTGAATTTTACTGCTCTGTGTAAGCATTTTTAAATAAGTGTATTTGGATGACTGAACTCCTGACAATTAATCCACAAGAGAGAGAGGAGTGAGATTTAACAGTTTATTATATTTACTATTCATTTTCATATTTGTTTTAGCTACCTGTATGTATATATTTCTGGAAGTTTACATCCTTTCGTTTAAATTAATATTTAATTTTGTCATGAACTACACAAACTTATTTGTTACACATTTAATAAACCCTGACATATCATTTAAATTCCACATCAATCATTCATAGCTTATTTACTTGATGGTGACACTTGATGTACTTTTGACACCTTTATATATATAAAACTAAGAACACATACAATGGTCACATGATTTGACATAAAAAATAACTTACAAACTCTATACCTTTTGATGTTTAATATTAAATGACGGAAGTACCTTTAATAAACGTAAGATATCATCATTCTGTGAACAGCTAATTTTGATTATCAAATCAACAGTAATACACAGTTTAACTAAATGCCTGCTAGATTTAGTTGTGTCACAACAATCCTATTCTATTAAAACACTGCATTTCAACTATACTATTAGGAATACAAAGAACAATCTTTAAAACTAAAAATCATTGTTGAAAATTGAAATATAATTATTATTTTGCTGCTTAACTAAACTTAACCTCTCATTTAATGAACACTTATACTCTGAATTAGAAAATTACAAATCTTAGCAGTACGTATTAGCAGCCATCTCACAAAGCATGTCAAATAGAACATATTATGAAAACTCCAAAAATCACTCCATTACTAATAAAAGCAGCTAATTCTTATTATGGTATGGTTAACTGTTTTATATATATATACAAAGTTCCACTCATCCACCTCCACTTCTAGCCCCCTTAGCAACAAATCAAGTTCTCACAGGTTTAGTTCAACACACATACAAATATCAGTTTGTCTATAAATTTTAGTTTAATACACTTTAAAGGCTTCTTAAAAAATTAGTTTCAGCTTATAAAGGATATGTCACACATGTGAATCATAATCCTCTCTAGTCAACACCCCCTCATTCTTTAAAATGTTACTGCCCTTCAGAATTAACAACTTATTTGTAAATCTGTAAAATCTCACAATTTTTACTTCTTGTAAGCCTATGAACATATTCAGTATGTGGTCCTTGTAACTTAATCCCTTCTCTATACTTTCAGAAACTTTTCTCTTGTGTTGCTCCAAACTATTAGAGTAAGCAAAAATATTTATGAGAAAATACTTATGTTAATAAAATGAGACTCACAGTTCATGTCAGGTTGAACCATAGCAGAGTATGGTGACATGGCTTGACCAACTTCCCAGCTGTTACTAGTTGGTAAGGTCATGCTTCCTGGTGACATGGCTTTAAACCATTTATGTCCACCACATGAGTCTTAAAAAATAAAAAGAGGAAAAGAAACAAAATACTGAAGTGTTTATCACAGGGTAACATATAAATATATACATATAATAGAAATTAACAAGGTTTATAATAAACAGCATACAGCAAAAGCGACAGAACACTCAATGATTCTGATCTTGTGTGCTATTTAATTGGAAAAAAATACTATCATAGGATCTTTCTCCTTTGGAAGCGAGTCATTTACCAACAAAATAAGAGTAATTTTGAAGACTTACAGGTTCCAGAATCATATTAAACCTAATTTCCTTGAACATGTAATAAAAGCTAAAAATATTCATTTATAATGTACATTAAATTAGTTGCAGGCAGCAAAGGATAATAATTTTATTTGCTTTCAATTGACTTTCTAAGAATTAGTTTGTTTTTTCCCTCCAATAATATATACTTTTGTTTAATCTCCAAAAAACATCTATTTTAAGCACACAAAATACAAGTGACACTACTGGTTCAATCACTGGTATGCTTTTTAATATTAAATGAACAAATCTGTACATTATATTGAATTTTAAGATATGACAACCTGTAAAGAAAGAGCAGTTTAACTTAGTTTTTTACCTTGCTCATGCTCTTCTTTCACTGGTTTGATAGAAACAGGTTTCCACGATGCTAAAGCATCTATTGTGATTTCTTCAACTTCTGACTTACTTAGATTATTCAAGACAGCCCACATGTATTGGTCGACTTCTAGCTTCTCTAACACTGCTGTTTTACTAAGGTAAAGAGAGAAACGTAGACTATAAAGGCCTGTTACAAATTATACATTTTTTCTGAACCATTTGGATGTAAAAAAAATACAGATTACCCTGTAGTAGGTTTTACTTTATTGTGACCAATCAAATATTTTTACCCAGGTTTATGTAGTTCTCTTACTGCTTAGGATCAATATATTGTAAGCAATGCAATTAAGTATGCAAAGTCAATTTGTCAGTCACCACCATGATTTCAGATTAAATTTCACTGTATTTTTATGCATTAATGGCACCAGATTTTACAATGAGCATAAAGCATATTTCTTCTTGAATTCAGTGATACCTTTCTTCTTTATGTGCATGTTCACTTATCTTTGTAGTTTTCTCCTTTTATTGCTAAGTAAATTAAATACATTATGGCTGTACTTTCATCTTGTATAGAACATTTTTACTTCTTGTTTCAGTTAGTTTTTTATGCATTCTCTGTATTTATATTCATCCCTATGCGCATGTGTTGGGATCAAAGTGTACATGTCACAACTTTTTACAGAGTGGCATTCAATATGGTATTATGTATTTGATGTCAGATTTATTAACTATTCATTTTACCCTACACTGTTGATTTAGTGAGAGTTTGTGGTAGAGTAAATACCAGATACACAACATACAGGGATACTGAAAAAACTAGACATGTATTTCAAAAGTTCTAGAGGTTATGTTAATACAGTGTGCAAACTATATGATGGACAAAAGTCTTTTTATTCTTTGCATGAACATCTTGTACTCCAACGTATTAGTCTGAGTCAGACTGATGTCATCAATTTATAGACATATCTCGAGTACAAATACTTTTGTAGCATATCTGATTTTTTGTGTACAGTTTGTCTATAATTTTTAGTTTAACATCCTTTAAATGAAGCTTCCAATTCAAAGTTAAGTCATCTTAAAAAATTAATTTCAACTTGTAAAGGATACATGACACTTGTGAATCATAATCCTATCTAACGTACACCCCTCATTCATTAAAATGTTACTGTTCTTTAGAATTTACAACTTATTTTTAAATCCATAAAATCTCATAATTATTACTTATTGTAAGCTTATGAGAATATACAACAGACGTGCACATTTCATAAAAAGCTGGCCATATATCATATAAATACACCTAGTAAGTTCAGAATTATAGTCAATATTCCTTCTCCAATATGGCGTTGGTCCAACTAACTGAGTCAGTGCACATTTGGTTAATTTATCACTTTATATTAAAAAATATGAAGATACAAAATTAATTTGTTCTTTTTCTTCTTTATAAATTTATTTTACTGTCTTATATTTTAACTATAAGTAAAATTTTGACACAACTGAAAGAAACTGGAATAAAAGTGAACACTAATGAAACAGATGTACAATACTGCACCTACAGATTACCATCTATGCCCGAACATAATGCACACTTTTTTTCCCCAAAATACCACCCAAAAAATTGACTGCTCTTTATATTCGCACACGTTAAATTTCATTAGGTATTTTACTAGAATCTACCACCAAAAATCATTAAAGCACCATTAAAGATTTCAAAAAATGTTGCATATCAAATGTAATAGATGATGACATGCTGTGGGAATCAGAAGAGGATGAAGCAAAGGTTCAAGGAAGCAAATCTGATGAATGATTAGCTTAGTGTATTACCATATATAAACTTTTTCAGTAAATCTGGTAAAATAGAAACAAAAAAATGTAAATGAAAGATTTCCAAAAATGTTTAATACATTGACAGTTGTTTATTGTATTTAGAAACTATTGAATACATTTTGTACAACTGATGTGTAAAAAAAACAAATTTTCTTCAATTTAACCCTTCAAAATTTAGTGTGCATTATAATTGAGTGAATATAGTATGGTATATTCCAGTTGCACAGGTGCGCATTATATAATCGAGTGAATACAGTACAGTATATTCCAGCTGCGCTAACAACAATGATAAAACATTGTCTCAAAAAACGATATTAAGGTAATTATTGTTAATAATATATTTGTGCTGATTAAAATTGTTAACCCTCTCCAAAATATTCTTGTAAGCCTATATAAATACAATAAAAAGCATCAGAGAATTGTGAAAGTTTCCTCTCTTATATATAGACACAAACATAGTTTGTTTATTTTTTTGTTCTTTTAAAAACAAGTGATAACATCTATAACTTACTTGCATACTGGACATCTCCAGGATTCTCTTTCACAATTTAGCTGTAGGTAGGACTGTAAGTCAAAGCACTAGACGAAAGGTTTTAATAGGACATATTTTACTTTTTTTCAAAATGATTACAACATACAAAACAGAAAAAAAAAATTTATTATATAATTTATCTAGTGAGAAAAACTAATTAGTACTGACATAATAAAATATTCTTTTAAATTATCCACAAAACATTTTTTATATAAGCCTTCCAAAGCTTTTATCATAAAGGAACACTGACTCTTAGTATTTACACTTAGAAGTCAAATTTAGTTAAGAAAAACTTTTATTACATGAATCTCAAGTTATTTCATTGTTCTTTGTTATGATGGGGCTGTTCATATTCAAACAAGTAACATACAGGGAAAAGCCTATATAAAACTTCTTTAATATATTCATTTACATAAGGAAACAATGCATAAAAACAGTAAAGTTCCTTAAAAGCAACAGGCTGTAGCTAAATAAAAGGGGTGCAAAATGTTTGAGTTTAATTTATCAATTTTATTTTTATTGGATCTTACACAACTAACCTGTATATGTTTGCACTCTTCTCCTCGAGCGGGAAGATTTATTTTCTTGAATGTGATTGGACATTTCAAGGAGACTTTGATGGCTGTTTGTTCCACACCATCACCACCAGTTGTAGCTACATTATTAAAGTTTCTTTTGATTTTGGATACACAGTGTTCTGCGGGAAGAAGACGTTTACGCAGCAAACCCTGAAGAACAGACTTTACTGTTGGCCGGTGGACAAGTTGTAAAAGGAATAAATGAGACTGAAAAATGAAGCAAAATTATACTAATTTAAATCTCAATGGCATTAAACTCACACAGTCCTAATATTGAAGTACTAAATGAGATAATATTTACATAATTTTGTATCTTCAAATGTATGTTAATTAAAACAGGGCTTATTCCACTGAGGCACTAATAAATATAATCCTGCCTGGGAACATCACACACTGAATTTATAGTGATTATTTGACAATTACTTGAGTGTAGAAAGAGCACCATATAAAAAATTGTCTGAAATTTAATAAACCATTCATTTTCCTTTATTTAAGCTTATAAAAAAAGAATAATAAGAAAAAGAAATTCTGAAATTACTGCACTTGGTAGGTGATGATAATAGAAGTTTGACATCACTTGTTGTTTCTTATATTTTTTTCTGAAGCATACTGAGACTTCCAGTAGTTTTTATTACAATAGGTTTATTCCTCACCAACTGATTTGTTATTAAACTACTTGTTTCTGACATGTAAGAATAACTACTAGAGTGAACAGGACAAGCTTACATCCCTCATATCTGCCTTATACTTTGTGGAAACTTTAGATTGGCCTTTAGCATGAGCACACACATCATTGTTGAGTGTAAGATAGAATCCAAAAGCTTTCATGAAAACATCAGTTTATGAGAAAGAGATCAAAAAGTCATAACAAATATAAATTAGAAGAAGAATTCACAAATGTGGCCCATTTATTATAATATATTTAAATGTGAAGTGGTTTATTGAAATAATTGTACAAATAATTCTTTTTCATAGTATCACAGTTAGGAAGATTTATCAACGTGGTCTAAGCACGTCTTTTAACAACTATCTAAGTCAGTGTGCTGTTTTAAAAAAATGCTATTTCCATGTGCATAACCTATGTAGGTTAAAGACTAAAATTTATTAGAATAACATTATTTTTAATAAAATATTCAGTTCCTCTGCAACATTTTATGTTAATTTAACATCCTTCTTAAAAACTGATAAACTCATAAAGTTAAAACGTAAAATGTAACACCACAATAATAGTCCCGTGGACAGTGTTTGAGGCGATTACAATATTTTATCAAATTTTCAACCTTAAAATACTTTCAAAAGTTACATTTTAATTCGCTTTAAGAAACATACGAATAGCATTTACTAATGAAGTATACTACAATATAGCAAAGTCCAGTCAACATTTGTGTTCCTACACTGAGTGTTGCATAGTTATCTTCTTACATGCAAGTACATATTATACCTATATATATATACATATACACACATAATATATATATACACACACACACATAATATTTGTATACACACAAATACACCATTCATTACTTAATATTTACCAGTGTTTATATTAAATATTAATACTGTGTAGAAAGTTGAGGTAGAATTACACAAATAATGTGGAATAACAAAAGACAAAAATAATACCTCAATAGATGTTGCTTAAATATCATTCACAGAAATTATGGAATTTTTTAAAGATATAAACTCCATTTAGGTATGATTGTGGAACAATTTGTAAAACAAAGTTGAAGCTATTAAAAAAAACTTACACAACAGCAAGCCGTCACAGTGATCTGAATAGTGTTTCGACCTGGATGACACACTTCTTTGAGATAAAGAGGTCTGTGAGATGTTTTAGTTTCACCTCTGTCAATAGTGATAGGTACAGCATTGACGGACACTTGTACTGAGGTAGGCCAGTTTGTGTTCATCTGCCTGTCTTCATGATGAAAGCACTTCAACTGCAACTCTAAGTCTGAACGCATCACTAAAGTTTGATGTATAGAGGGCTTTAGTTGGAAGAAATGATTGCTGACAGCCAGATTGTGTTCCAACCGGAAAGGAGGCAAAATAGTTCCATCTCTGACGGGAAAAGTCAGTCTTAACTCAGCATCTTCTGTAAAATAGTGTATTTTCTAGGTTAATATTTAAAGAGAACAAAAAATATTTATAATTTGTTTTAATAAACCATATCCTTGAGATCTGCAGATACTTGTTGCAGAATGTAAAGATTTACAGACTATGATAAACTATTTGAACAATACATGTTAAAACTATGATGTAACACTAAATGCAAAGAAGGTTAAAATTCTGATAATCAGTAAACATCTTGAAAAGCATTGCACTGTTTATGTGGAAGGAGAACTAGTGAGCAAGTAAAAGAAGACAAATACTTTGGAATTCAGATAACAGAGGAAAGAAGATGCTTAGAAGAAATGTGGATGGGTGATTTAATACACAGAGAAATGGAAAATATAATTAAATATGATGATGAAATCTAACAATAGGAAAGCCTGAAGAGAGATTATTGCCAACCTTTGGAGTAAAAACAGCATTATATGTGAAAGAAGCATATATCAACATAAATTTTATACACAGTTTATAGAGTGTGAACTGTTTGAAGAGTATTCAGTACATAAAAAAAATTATAAGCTCTTGTGAACGGAACTTTTTGCAAACAATGAAACAGAAATGGTAGACTTACAAAAAACTGATAGAAAAGTCTACAGATTCATATTCAAGGCTCATACTTGTAACAAAAACTTGCATTTGTTAATTACTTTTGTTTGTTATTAAATACAAAGCTAAAGAATGGGCTATCTGTGTTGTTCCCACAACAGATGTCAAAGCCCAATTTTTAGCATTATAACCCCTTATGCTTACCACTGAGCCCGTCCTCGGAGGGCTAGTTTTTAAGTATCCAGAATTATTTTGTATAGAAAAGTTAGAGCCGAGTGCAAACTATCACTATCTTATAAAATATGAAAATAAACTATATGCACAAACAGTAATTGTTACAAGAATTTACTTAGAAAGGTTTAACTAATATTATTTTACTGATTTTATAGAATGATATCACACAATAACATTCATAAATATGTACTACAAAAGAACAAAAATCCTTTAAAGTTTGTGCATTTTGGTGTATGTGCTTGAGGATGAACAATAATTATTCAAGAGTTAGATCATAATTACATTCAAAATTATACCAAAGCCAGCAATACAAAAATTGAAAAATTCAGGACACACAACTTTGAAGTTTGTGCATTTTCGTGTATGTGCTTTAGGATGAACAATAATTATTCAAGAGTTAGATCATAATTACATTCAAAATTATACCAAAGCCAGCAATACAAAAATTGAAAAATTCAGGACACACAACTTTGAAGTTTGTGCATTTTGGTGTATGTGCTTTAGGATGAATAATAATTATTCAAGAGTTAGATCATAATTACATTCAAAATTATACCAAAGCCAGCAATACAAAAATTGAAAAATTCAGGACACATGACGTAGAACTACTATAGAAGGCAACAAAATTTCAAGTCTGAGAAACATGCTGAAGTCCATGAGTAGACAAAACTGCAAGAGTTAGTTGAAGATTTTAAAAGTTGTACAATACCATAAAAGATATTTTGAAGGACACCAATGTACTCTACCTGTACCCTTTCTTATGTAACCTTTACATAGCTACATCAAAATAATGGCATTTTGGGCTTAATATATTTAATTTTCTTATTCTTATATTTTCCAATTAACTGCTCTTGTGTTAGATAATTTAAAATGCTTGTACATAAGAATTTATTTCTATATCTGGTACAATCTATAAGATCTCTCAGCAATTTTGAATATTATAAAATTACAATCAGTATTATGAGCATTTCATAAATACAACTTTAACACACTGCATCCCAGTCACATCCTGTACATTTTCTAATCAATATTTATGAAATAAAAGTCTTGTTCTAACTGAATGATGAATATACAGTACTGATTCAAAAAAATACTAACTTCCTTGATGCACCATAGGCTTTACATCACCATGACTGGATGTGATGTACGGGGTCAGTCCTGAAGCTGGTGTAAGAGGTGGGGTAGGATTTCCTGGGACTGATGGCTGTTGGTAACTAAAACTCCTCTATCAAAAGTTCAAACAACAATTGTTTTTATCAAGAAGTGCCACTGAAAATCACAAAACAAACATATTTTTTGCTTTAATTTTTTTTTTGATATCAACACTTATAACCACTAAAGGTTTACTACATATACATTTCTGTATGCTATACAGAAATTTTATTTATTTTACTTTACAAACAAGTAAAATACATGCACGCACATACACAAACATGATTAGAAATACATGTTTTACTAGTCCTCACCTGTATTAAGAATTAAAAAAAAATCACAAGATACACAGACTTTAAGCTTTAACCATTGGATTCAAAAAATGTTAAGATATGGGTTACTCGTAACAGGCTAATGCTGGTAGCCTTTATTTTAAAGGCTAAATTAGACAAATTACAAGTTGAAATTGGCTGAAACAGGCCATTTTTAGCAAAATCTCTCTTGTGGAGCTGCTATACTATAACTGATTATGTCCTGTAGAACCAAATATGGGTGTATATTTGAAACACAGTTGCTTCCCACCTTCTACCTAAAAACTGTGGATAATCTTTCTTAGCTGGAAACTGACAATATTCATGTGCCACTGGCCACATTAAGCCTGCTTCAGGGCACATGTGTGACAGGTACAACTAGAAACTAAATTTTACATTTTAAATGAAGAGCACAAAATGCTATTCCTGTAAAAATTATTTTTTTACAGACAGGCTGAAGCATTAAAGAACAGGCTGTCATGGACTATTACAGGTTCTTTGAGCAATTATACAGTTTTAAAGGTTTGCTGGGAGACCCGAGTAATATTTACCTATATTTTCTTGGAAAAGTTAAAACCTGAAAGTGTTAAAATAAAACACTAACAAAAGTTACATGAAAATGTTTACAGTATAAGTTTAAACACAAAAAATATTATGCCTAAATGAATACACAAACCCTCTATGGTAAGTTTTCAATTTAACTAGGTTGACAAACTACCTGTATTAACAATACAAAAGGGTGGACATAAATACAATAGCTTTTAATCTAGTAAACTTGTGTTATGTTTTAAATATGACACTTAAGTTCAGTTAATATTTTAAGAATTTTAGCACATTGATTAGAAGTATGTGGCTAAACATATAACCTTTAGTTTTTAAATGGAAGGAACATTAACGGTATGTGGTAATAGTATTAAACTACATGATTAAACAAAACTGTGATAATGTTTCGATGGGATGCTTAATTGAACTGTTTTAACATTAAGAATACATATAGCTCATATTAACAAAAATAACTCGTTATGTGATACATCTGAAGAGCAAGTAAGAAATATGGCATATTAATTCCAAAATGTATACTATATAGTAGATAGCATTTAGGTTTTAGATTATTTTTCAAAACTTGTAAATAAAACATTATATAAATATATACTACCAATTAGATAAAAAGTTTACATATTCATGTATTTTTATGCTACATATACTTAAAGTAATACGTAAAATCTAAAAAAAACTACTATGAAATCAGTGTAACATGCAATGTCTTAGTGACTTCTCACATTGTATTAAGTACGAGATACAGGGTGCTTGTTCACACATTTAAGCCCTGACCTAGAAAGATTTTGACAGTCCTCTCTCTCCCCTGTTACCTTTACTGCACATTGAGGTCCTACTTCTGTTCTTTTTCTAGATTGCACACAGTAATTTAGTAAAAGTAATGTGGATGTCCACACACTTATTCTTGTTACTTTCAGATGTTGTGTGTTATATGTGTTGCTTGTTTTAATTTTGCACTGGGTAGTAAGTAGATCTGGTTTAAGTCATTATCATCTTCACCTGAGGTAATCCATATTTCATATTTTTGAATCAACAATTTTTATGGATCTGTAATAGTGGTTATTTTGTTTTTTAAGGGTCCTTGAAGGTATTTTAGGAAGATAAGTTTCTAATTATTGTATGGTCTTTTTTCTTAATAGTGGGTTTTACTACTCTTTCTTGTCACACAAATGCAAGTTCACCCACCATTATTGTCAGCTAACACAAGTAGCGTCATTAATCTGTATCTTTGTATTTTCTTTCATGCAAGTTTCGACTGTTATGTTCCTCAGTTGGAACTCTGTTTTCTGACAGCAAGCCATAATATAGTAGAGTTGTTCTAATGTTCCTTTGGAATATGACTTCAGCAGGTTTTATGTTTATTTATCATGAGTGACTTGGTCAGTACTGTGTACTAACACCACTGATATCTATGGTACCATAACAAGAATACCATCTAAAATGTGGCATATTATGTTTTGAAAAACTTTTGTAGCTGATATCCTAAAATTTAATTTGGTATATTGTCCAAAGTGTACGTAAGTAAAGAACATATCAATGTACCAAATCTCTCAAACAAGTTCAAGCTGGTATCCTGTTTTCAGATCTGATTTAGGAAAGATTTGAGCTCCATTCAAATTTTATATTATGTCATTAATCATTTGAATTATAATGTCCTCTCTTTCAATGACTTGATTTGGCAGTCTCACATCTAAACATACTCTGATCTGGCTTGGGAGTGAATATTATTTGATAAAACCTACTGTGCCAGTCCATCTACTTGTTCTATAAATTCACTGACTTTCTAGTGATGTTGGCTTTTCTTCTTTAAAGATTTATTCTCTGACTTAGATGCCCATGATTGTCTCTAGACTTTTTGGGCCATCAAACAGTAGAAGCTATACACAGTTACGTAAACACATAGACATTGATTGTAATATAAAACTCAGCTAAATGCTACATAACTGGGAAATGTTTTTTCACAAATAATTTTCTATTTGAAGGTATTTAGGTCATGACTGATGTACTTTGTTCTCTACTTCATGCACTGTCATATGATTAGTTAATAACCTATAGTTCTTAGTCTAGTTCTATCTTTTTCAACTATTTAATCTTACAAACCCATCTAATGATTTGACATATCTGATTCTTTAATGATAAAAATGCATTTAAGCAAATATATCTCAATATTTACAAACCTGATAGTTTGGAGGATTAACATACGTATTTCCATTGTACGGTTGTTCATGTTGGAGTTGTGGTGCGGTACCGTTCACTTGACCTGATGGATAATACTGGCCTTGTTGTGCCATATAGGAAGATCCTTGTGGTCTCATGGATGGTCGCATTGTTTGTTGAGGTGGATAAGCCATGGAAGAGATGGGCTGTTGTAAAGATGAAGGATACTGATGTGGTTGCTTGACAAATTGGGCAGGTTGACCTATTGAATACTGTAGCAGAAACAGATATTATATTTTACAACTGTTCTATTTGATTATTCTTTTGTTAATTGGTTCAAATAATATCTAATGACTGTTTTAAACAGAGAAAAGAAACTTTTCTTTTATATCAGTTCAAATGTGCTTTATGTTTATTTTGCATCTCCAGAAAAGTTATAACAATATGTCTAACTTTATAATATTGCTGGTAGATCACTTCATGCCGTAGTCTAAGTACTGATGCTAATTGTATGCTTTAAGATGCATATTTTTGTTTGCAAGGTCCAGCTAAGTTTCTTCAAGACTAAACAAGTTTTATCTAAACAAATATCAGTGCTACTATAGCTTGAGGTCTACACAGATACTATTATCATCACCGTTTTAACTTTCGTTTATTTGCAATTGGCACCATTTATTATAAATAACACTTTTAAACTAATAAAGTACAAAATATCATTACATAACGTTTTGGGACAAATATAATCAAAATTAAATAAATTCCAACAATCAAAACTAGCACAGTTATAACCTAAATTTAACATACTCTTTTGGAACACACAACTTATTAAATTATTATTATTATTTGCTGAACAAAAACTTGGATACATATAAATTATTTAGCAAGAAATTATGTTTTAGTGAACTGTTAAAACAGTGATGATGATAGTATCTGTGTAGATTGCACGCTATAGTGTAAATATCTTTGTAGACCACATGCTATAGTAGCACCTAAATATCTTCATGCACTGGAATAACACAATCAATATAAAAGTAAAACGGCTATAAAATTAGTTTATACATAAGAATTACCAATCAGTAATGTTACCCACTTTACTAAAAGTAAGTATTACTCAACAGCTGAAAATTTATTTCTCATGAACAAGCACAACTCTTCAAGTAACTAAGCTATTTCTATCATCAGGCTGGATGAGTACATCTTCAAATCTGTTGTTGATTCATACATGATTACATAAATATATAGCAATAAAATACAGTTTAATGGGCTGAAGTGTAAAAAATAAATTAACAATTTCTTAAATACAAAGATAGGTCAAAATTCAGTGCAGCAATTAAATGGTAAACACAACTAGTTTTAGTAAGGATTCACACTAACATTTTATTCCTGATAAAAGAAAAATATTTAATGATAATTGGAAAACTTCAAAATTAAAACCAAAGTACTGTTTTATCTATGAAAAAGAAACAATACAATCTGACCCTCCCTCAAAAAACAAAAATATTCTAAATAAATTATATTTTCTGATATTCCTTGCTATTAAGAGGTTTTAACGATAGCAATGTTAATGAATTAAGCTGTGTTTTGTGAGAAACATTTTATTTAACTACATTTTATGAAGTGGTTTTCTTGTGTGCCTTTCCAAGTTGAAGATGTGAAATAGCCTCTTTCAGAAATCTTTAACAAATACAACTTTTATGTAGTAAATAATATTGCTTCACTTGCTCTACATCAATGTTATTAAAGCCTATACTGTTTTAAAAATAAATTTGTTAGATGACTGTCAAAAATAGATTAGATAACTGCTTGGGAAACTGTAGAAAACAAAAAAAAAAAATGTTTGACTCGGCAAATAAATTTAGTTCATAAGCATCTTCATAGGGACAAATAAAAAATATGCTTTTCATTTTTGATTTAAAATACATAGCACACAGCAAACTAACCCCACCTGTGAAGAACTATATGACTGCTGAGTACTGGCTCCATAGGGTGGCATGTTAGAACTATACTGTGAAATCATAGCATTGTTATACTGTGACTGTCGTTTCTCCGCTAAATACTGGGCAGGACTTGGATATGGAGTTACACGACTTCTGGGTTGTGGACTCATCCCTACTGGAGGCCCTTGGTACATGGTTGTACCTCCACTCCCCATACTTGGTAGAACTTGCATACCAGCTTTGTTCATCTGAGTATTCATAGTCACGGGTCCATTCATGACATTCTGCGAGTTAAAGTGGTTCATTGAGTTGGCAGAATTCATCATGGGGTTGTTCATTATGCCCAATGAAGCATCCATAGATGTCATAGTCCCTGCCATAGGGCTGCTCATGTGGTTCTCCACCTGACCCAAGCCATGTGGTAAATGTTGAGCTCCATAACTGTCCCGATATTGTTGCTGTTCTTTCATACCAGGCAACTGATGAAAGTAATTTAATCACAAATGAAAATCATTACATTTTAAAGAAGAAATAAATGTTCATATGAAAAAAAACTGACTAAAACTACAATAAAAACACATCTGTAATCTGACTGTTATACACTATCTATTAAATGCTTATTTTCATTTTTGAAAACATACTCACATATTAAAACTTCTAGTTCTTAAAAGATATGAAACTCTCTAAATGGGTACATTAGACACAGTATTAAATATATTAGCAGCCTAGAATAATTTCTTTTAATTCTCACAAAATATATTTTATTACTTAAGAAGGATGAAATCAAAAGGATTATGATGAATTCTTAAATTCACTTATTATTCTTCCTGCTACATTGACCACACATCTTAATAACGAGGTGTATATTAACTTATGTGACTGTTGTGCTGATCATCCATTTTAGTAGCAAGGTAAAAAATAACTGATGTGGTGGTTGCAATGGTCATCCATGTTGGTAATAAGGTGAGAAATAACTGATTTGATTGTTGTACTGATCACTCATTTTAATAACAAGGTGTGAAATAACTGATGTGGTGGTTGTATTAACCACCCATTTTAATAACAAGGTGTGAAATAACTGTTGTGGTGGTTGTAATGGTCATCCATTTTAGTAGCAAGGTGGAAATAACTGACGTGGCAGTTGTAATGATCATCCATTTTAGTAATGAATTGAGAAATAACTGATCTGTTTTTTTGTCATCCTCTTCTTTTTTAAAATATTTTTAAAAACAACTTAAATGAATACTGTATTGACAACCTAATTTGACAGTGAAATTAAAAATAACATACCTGACTACTGAACTGGCTACCCATTACTGCTTCCTGCTGCTGCTCCTGGAATGCCACAACACTAGCTGTTGCTGTAGCAGTAGCAGTAGCAGCAGCTGCAGCTCTTGCTACAAGCGCTGCTGCATTAAGAGCACCTGAAGGGTTCTGGTAATCTCCAGAGGGTCCATTACCAGGAACCATCATTGGTCCTCCCATAGAGGTTGATGTTAGGTCATAACTATTGAAAAACACTGATAGTGAGGTTAATGTGAATTTTTCAAGCACTGTCCTTTTAATGAATACTTATTACATATTCTACACTATACACAGAAACACACACATACCTATATATACTAGAATATAAAGCTGTTGATATCTACAATATCCTATGGTGAAAAAAATAACCAAGTTGCTTCTGTATTGTGTATGTAAACATATATATTACATAAGTGTAAAATTAAAGTAGCAGTATCCAATAACATGACAATGAAAGTTCATTTAAGACAAGTTTCCAAATGAACTGCCTGTGAAAAATTCAGCAACACTCACCAAGTTACTAACCAATTCTAAATGTTAAATGTATATATTACTCAAAATTATATCTTCAGTGATATTATTTTGGTGCAAATGAACTTGTAAGTAAGCTTTAAATCACACTTTGACCTTTGTTTTTTCAAATGATCTCTAAAAATAAATAGTAAAATCGAGCCTAACTAGATTTTCTTTGCAACTATAATACTACTGAAATTTCTAAAGAGAATATTATTACATATGAATATGAAAATATGCTTGTGGTTAGATCCTCTAGTATTGTTATTATGATTCGACATATCTTTATATATCAATTTTTATTCCTATGTACAAATTTTTCTTATTAAAAAGTGTCCACAAAAATTATAAAAAAAATTAAATATATGCAAATAGAATGTTATCATCATAAGAGTATTCTTAACATTGTGTTAGTAGATTAAACACAATTACTATTATTGATTTGCAAGTTAATTTCTTTTTTCCAAGTGATAATATAATACAACCAAATAAGGAAATCTAGGCTATATCAACAAACTACATACAAAGTGTACTTGAATGCAGGTCTTGTACTGTAATCATGTATATGAAAGATTAAAAACTATCAATACTACAGTGAAGGCACACACCACTTTTTCCAGTCACACCCATAAAAAATGTGCTCCACCCTATTTTACTTGTTAATTCTTTTCACTATCCATTTTCCTGACATCACAATTCATACTCAAGGTCAAATATAGAGCAATGGAGTCATTTGGTAGAACAAAACGAGTAAACAAGATGTAAAATGAAGGGGGGAAGACAAATAAATGGCATCATCTTTACCTGAAGGACTAATGAAAACAGGTTTAACTCAAATTCTCCCTACCCATGAAATTTGTTTTGTTTCAATAAATGGCATCTAACGACACTGTGTGATATGCAGTTAAAGTGCAAATAAGGTATTTTCATATAAATATTTAATGTGGTTCATGCAAAATTCTGATTAAGTGTGCAGTAAGGAGGATTCAAAAAGTCACTCTGTTATTTATTAGTTTTTGCTGTACTATATCACTTTCATATACAAAGCTTGGATTAAGCATTTTATTTGTCCCTACCTAATGAATGTATCTGGTTTTAAGTAATTCATTAAGGCAGTATATGATCTTAGTACTTTCATCTTACATATACTTCAAATTACAAAAAAAAACACAGCTCTTCATATACAAAAATTTACTTATCATCACCTGAAAAGATATTGCCACTATAATGATACAGTAATGCATGTACTTATTAACCGAGACAAGACTATAAAGTAAGCAAAAGTAGAAAGTTATATTTAATAAATTGACCTCTCTTAAGATGCATACTTCATTTTCAGGAGCAAATTATCCAAAAAGAATGAAAGCTAATTGCCTATTTAGTAATTTCTCTAGTACACATAACCTGTTCACTTAAAAAATAAACAATAAATTTTCAAAATTCAATTTGTTTCTCAAAAGAAATTTTTCTTTCACAAACATTGCAATTTTTTTTTTTATAAATGTATAAAATGAACACAAACCCACAAAAACAAAAAAAAAGTTGATATACGCTACTGACCTTTCGTCATGAAATACTTGTATAAAAGATACTCATATTTTAAGTTTCCAAGACATGTGCTTACATTTTTTTTATAAGATTAATGTATTTACCCATTATATCCTGGAGGAGGACATGTGCTTAAATTTTTTTTTATAAGATTAATGTATTTACCCATTATATCCTGGAGGAGCTGGTCTTCCACTCATGCCCTGAGGAGGATAAACTTTTGAAGACATGCCTGTTGGATTATTGCCAGGGTAACCATGCTGACTTTGACCATATGGAACTTGTGCCATAGATGTGTTGGTACCTGTATATGAATTGTGTGCCAATGGTCCACTCTGAGTGCTTGTGGTCACTCCCCAAACAGTGGTCACTACAGATAACTGCTGTTGTGGAGCTTGATGGTGGGGACCATAACCAGCTGGCGGCGTCTGTTGCCAGCCCATTGTGGCCATGGTAGTAGTATCACTTAAGAAAAGAAAAAAAAAAGGTTTCAAACAGTCTTAAACTTAATTATATAATAGACAAAATATGCTTAATACATTTTATTTAGCCTTAATAACATAAAAAAACAAGTGGCTTTTTGTTTGTTTTTTTCTTTAAATAACAAACAAAAAGCTACTTGTATTTTTAATGTTATTAATGCTAAATAAAATGTATTAAGAATATTTTTTTGGAATCACAATTAATGTTGAAGTCCATGAAGATACAATTCCTGGAGTTAGTCATAATTAAAGTTTCATAAAAAAAGAAAAGTTCAATAAGTTTTAAATTTCAAGATTTGTTTTAATTAGTTATTATTTTTATTAGAAATTCAGTTAAAAATAAGCTCTTCAGTTACAGAAAATTTCTTGCATAAAACAATTTTATTAAAAGTCTATTTAGAAAAGATGCACTGATTTCTAAGACTCACCAGGGCCATAATTACTTCTTAATATTAGTTTCCACAGAATACAGTAGAATTATTAAATTAACCCTACTGACAGATCTGTTCTGCTTTATGTTATTAATTGACAATTTATTTTGCACAGAAAAAAAAAAACCAAGGTTTATCCCATGTTGATAACTGTGAGCTATTACAACTTACAAACCAGCAGAGTTGCAAGTCTAAGTTGATGTTGTTGTTTTTACAAGTTCCTTAATTTTCCTTTTTGTTCCAAAATTCAGAAGGAATGAAATACATACAAACTTAATGTATAATTAACCACACCATGGATATTCCTGGTAGTAATATAATGTACACATCATTATAAAACTTTAACACTTTCATATATTTTATATTTGAAATTCATTGTATTCAAAGTAGTGTTTTGTTTACCTGGCTGGCCCATTACCAATGATAACTTCTCAACAGTAAAATGAGGGTGTAGATGTAAAAACAGTACATGTATATACACACACACACAGATAACATTACGTTTAAGTTTCAGACTCTCTTGCAGTGTAAAAGTTGGCAGATGGCACCTGCTTACAGCTGTTTGTTCTACTTTTTTCCATAGGAACTCGTAGTAACTGAGCCAGTGCTTTAACAATACATGTAAAAACACTATAAGCTAAATATAACATGTACATTTTTTCTTTACTTTAATACTGTAAATAAGAATTTATTATATGCAAAATAAACACATATCACTGGGAGTCAATCAAAGGCACACACATAAAAGTTTTAAGTACTGCATGATTGTCTGCTCATGAACTAATTAAGACCTACAGATGCACACATAATTTCTGTGTGCAAGATTTACACTGCACTTTTCCTTATTATACATAAACATAGCTAAAATCACATAGCTGTTTGAAAGAATTTATATAATCTCAGCATTCTACTACAGATTTGAAGCCATACAACATTAAAGAAACAGTACGTAAAAGATTTCAGTGTGTGTGTGGCTGTTCAAATTAATAAATAAAAATAGCTATTTTAACAATACCCAATGTATTTGCACAAATTGACCAGAAAATCCAGTAAGTTGTCAATGTTTTTGGGTGACATAAATCTTGGAACAGTTCTCTGTTTTTGTGACAGTGAAGGTTTGCTCAGTGTGACAAATAACAGAGATACACCAGAGTTTGGTTCTTATTTTCAATAGCATACTTTCTCTTTGAAAGGTCAATGTTCAAATGATAATAAATAGTGTTTCAACTTTTGTACTTACACACTGACCGGAACTAAACAGAATTACCAATTATACTTTTTTGTACTGAAATATGCACAAAACAGATATTCACAGCAATGAACTGTAAAATCATACCAAGAACTGAATAAAAAAAAATGTTATGCACTTCATTCTCCAATAAAATACCTAAAAAAATAACAACCTTAGTTTGACAATAAATATTTAAATGTGGATTTTACATAGTTTTCCTTGCTTATAATCCTTGCCACTTTTATTCTTAATTTTTGATAAGTTTTTTTTTTGAAACAGATCATTATCATCATTACAGTTAATCAGGCAAGGTAAGATATTCTGCATTTGGCTACCACATTGTTTTGAACAGTGCAACATAAATGCTTATTGCTAATGTGTAAAAGCAAGGTAACTTATCATTCAGAAAAAGTACCTACAAATTTACATTTTCAGTAACCATACAATTTATAATGATCTTCAGTGAATTCACTTATGTACAATCAAAAATAAGAAAAAAAAACTATCTATCTATCTGAATAGATAGATTGTTGCCAGGAGCCCAACTACTAAGCAGATAGTGAACCATTATTTAGTCAAACAGTAAAACAAGAATTAGCAGGAAGTAGAATGTTACATCTGATATCTTTATACTTATGTCTGTTAGAGGAAATTGTGTAAAGTTTATACCTGATGTAATATAAGGTCTAAAATCAGTTGTACTATTAAAAGATTTACATTTTATGAGTAATTTGCTATTAATATTGTCAAATGGTTCTGAAAAATTAATATGGGTTTGTAGAGGTAAATTATAAATTATCTTTCTTTAGGTGCGTTACCCAACTGACGTCATTCTAATTTTATTTGTGCCACATTTGGTGAGAGTGACAAGTTCTTTTATCGAAACTCAAAGAAAACAAAACACTAAACACAGTACGATAAAACTACATACTTACATTAACTTTTCATATTTTCTTCATTATGTCATTTTCTTGAAAAGTTCAATAGGAATCTTTAATAACAAGTATCAAGCTTTAAGTTACTCATATGCCCAAATCCAGTGTATATATTTGTGTATTATGTATATATATCTCTTTCACTAAATATATATTTTTATTAACATTTTAAACTTGCACTAAAATCATTCATGTAGACTGATCAGTTACTGCTTTGGTGTAGATGTGCAGTGGTATCCACTTTATCTGAAAGTCCACTGTACAGTAATTATGATAATAATAATCAAACAGCACACACACTTCACCAAGCAACATAATTAATACACAACTTTAGTCTCAACATAGTGCAATGCAGGTCACCTGAAAAGCTTTGTATTAATATCAAGCACTGCTGTCATTGTACTAGCAAATATGTGTAAAAGAATATCAAATTATATACTAAAATACTAAATATATGCCACCAAACAGTATGAGTCAACGTTTAGTTTGAATTTAATATTTTCCAGCTGCAATTCTGGCAATAATTAATTTACAGATTAAAAAATTTTAAAGAAAAATATACTGAATAAATTATAAATGCTAAACAGCTACACTATGAAATTAATTTAGAGCCAATGCATTTACAATAGCATTAAATAAAACCTTTAAATACAAGTAGAAACTGAAAGTTTTACTAGGCTAAATAAAATATGATACTTGTGCTGCTCATTGTACCATCTACATCTAAATAAAGGATACAAAGGTCTACCAGTTCAATCTTAATCTATAAAGTACCTCTTTGTATACATCTACATCTGCTTGAAACTCTGTACATAGACTCTTTAGATCCACAGAATATAAAAAAACAATATCTTGACGAGTCAGAAGGGAATCGCCAAAAATGAAGGGGTCAAACGATTTGGGGGCTCTTGGAACTAGACTGACAAATTTGGACTTTAATTGACATGAACATGTAAGGAGATGTTTAAAATAATTATTCACAACTATAAATTCATATTTTTACATTAATTTTTCACATTAATGCCATCAAATTTAAGACTTAATTTGATTTTTTTAAAAGCTTTAACAGAAAGTTTTCTGGTAAAATTTATGAAAAATCAAGAACCAGTTGAAAAATAGCTCAATTCAAACCTCAAGTATCCTAATTTTCTGACAAAAAAGGGACCATTTGGTCCTTCAAGGTTGCCCTTTCATAAACACCCTTGAGAAAAGTAAAAATTTAAACCCACCCTTCATTTTCCAGGAAATCATCATAACATAACATACATACTACAAGGGACAATTCAATCCTTCAAGGTTGTTCTTGTACTCCCACCTTTAGAAAAATAAAAATTTAGACCCATGCTTTAGTTTTCAGGAAATAATTAATTGTCCTCTTAAACTCCTGTAGTGCTGTCTTCCATTTCTACCATAAGTCAATCACCCTATTACAAAAATATAACTGTCTTAGCTGAAGCCTAACCTGTCTCTTCCAAAACTTAAACTTGTGATCTATTGTTCTATTATTTTCTGAATACAACACAAAGAAATCAAACAACTATATTTTATTGATCTCTCCAGGTAATCTAATAAATTTCAATAACACCCTTATTTTCACAAGAGAAAATATGTTGAGATCTTCACCTATTCCTAGGGATAACTACATGATAACACTTCCATCCCTGGCTTCATCTTAGTAGCCCTCCTCTAAGCCCATTCTAACAAGTCCAACTTTCTTAGATAAGGAGACCAAAAATGTACACATATATTCCAAGTGAGGATTAACTAGTGACTAGCATAGAAATAATTACTTCTTTGGAATTGTAATCAGTGTTTACAAATACATCCTAAAATACTATTAACTTTTACTACTACTACTAGTAACAGAGTACCGTTTCAATGGCTTGAGTGACTTAGCAACTACTATGCCAAGATCCTTTTCTTCATTTACGAGATTGAATGGTTCCCATCTATATTTCTAACGTAAAAGTCACTTGCCAAGCATTTTTGTCTAACTTACCAATTTAACAAATAAATTCTGTAGTACTTAAACATCCTCAGTAGCTAGAAATACCTAAGAGGTTAATGTCATAAATAAACTTTACTAATTATATCCTTATTCATATCATTAATTTAATGCAAATAAAAAAGACAAAGGCCTCAAGCACTGACCATTGAGGCACTACATTAGTAACAAGAGTCCAGTTTGATTACAGTCATTAGACTGTTAGTATATTAATAACAAACTTTCGCGTTCTACCATTCAACTACCCTACGATCTAAATAACTAGTCTTTTCCCCACTTTTCTCAGCTTTTGTGTGGCATCTTATAAAAAGAAAATCAAGTACAAAAATTCTATACCCTTTCAATCGTCTAAATAACAAGTAACATCCTTTAAGTTTAACT